CTAGTATGCTTCAAATGCCTAGCAGAGAAATATTACGTAAAATAGTTTTTTTTTTTTTTTTTTTTTTTTTTTTTTTTTATGATAGTTTTTGGTATTGATTAAATTTTATACTGTATATTATTTAGTATTGATTGAATTACAAGTATATTTATTGTATTCAAGCTGAATGGGATCAGTGTATAACAAAAAACAAACTTACGAAATCAATCCTGTGTTTGGTGTAAAACGTTTTTGAAATATAATATTAATAATATAGCCTGGTTAAAACCAGACCATTCTCAGTTTTAACTGAGTTATGGTCTGGCAAAGCGTCATAGACAAACCTTTTTCATCTCCGTGCGTGCTGTAACTCTATCTGACGCACCCACCGCTAGCCTAGCTTAGCACAAAGACTGGATGTAAATGGCTCCAGCTAGCATACTAATCCCAACATCATGGTATTACCTGGTCTCCCCTGTTTATTGTCGCAGCTCTTTACAATACAGCGAACGAACACCCATGATTGTAAACTATGCTTTTACTATCTAGTAATTGCTGACTCTATTACTCCAACTCTGAACGAACTCTCTGCTCCTCATCACGGTGGGTCTCAGGTGCTGCGGTAATCACTCCGCCCAAGTAGCAGTGCTTCGCCTTCTGAGAATATAGTTCCCAATATTTATACGGTTAAAAGATGGCTGTGTCTCATATGACCTTGTTATTTGTACACTCTGTGACTATACAAATCACAACATGTAAATAGGAAAATGTTTGCGTTATTTTGTCACTTATTGGGATTAGTATGCTAGCTGGAGCCATTTACATCCAGTCTTTGTGCTAAGCTAGGCTAGTGGTGGGTGCGTCAAACAGACTTATAGCACGCACGGAGATGAAAAAGGTATGTATGGACTTATCTAACTCTGGGGGATATGGTGAATAAGCTAAAGTCCCAAAAAGTCGGCGTGTTCCTTTTAGGCCGGATTAACATATAGCGTCTAAAAACGCGTAGAAAACGCTGGGCGCGCCGCATTCTCCTTTTTCTAAAGCGCTAGGGCGGCTGCGCTCCGGTTGGTTCTTGTCACGTGACCTACTGTGCGCTTATGGTGCGCTTGCGGCATTCTGAAAAGTTGAGATGTTTTTATCTCGATGCTGTGCGGACGCGCTTGGAAAAAATGAGCGCGTCGCTTCCATTATGAGCGCGCATACCGCGCGCCTACATTTTAAATAACGAACTTGAGCACGCAATAGACGCGATATGTGAGCAGGCCCTAAGGGGTGAAGATCCTCCTTTATGCCCCTCGTGCCAGAATCCATTATAACTGAAGCATATTTTGATGTGATAAACTGTGATAGTTTGAACTATGTTAGAAATCATTATTTTTAGTTGACTTCAGTTGAAGATTTTTAATGAAGTAAGACCAGATCTCGTTTTAGAATTTTTAAAAACATTTAAAAACCTATTTTATTTGTTCCTTTTTAATCTCTTTCTCGCCATGAATAAAGCCGAGGTAGCTGACATAGTGTTAAACTATAAACATACAAACAAACAAACAAATTTGTTGTATTAAATAGTGTTAAAACATTTTGGTTTTCTTTTTTTCAAGGTTGTTGAAAGTGTCTTGTGCTCAGTGAAGCAGCATTTATTTGATCAACCACACAGCAACAGCTGTATTGTGAAATAGTATTACAATTTAAAGTTGCTGTTTTCTATTTTAATACATTTTATAAATGTAAAAATTCCTGTGATGGAAAAGTGTAATTTTCAGCATCATTACTCCAGTCTTCAATTATAATATGCTTATTTGGTGCTCAAGTAACATTTCTTGTTATCTTATGATACATTTTGAAAACAGGTGTGTTGCTTAATATTTTTGTTGAAACCCTGATTTTTTTTTTTCCCAGGATTTTTTGTTGAATAGATCGTTTAAAAGAACAGCATTTATTTGAAATAGAAATCTTTTTTTTAACATTATAAATGTCTTTACTTTCACTTTTGATCAATTTATTGCATCATTGCTGAATAAAAGTATTATTTTCTTTAAAAAAAAAGAGTAAAATTTTGATCCCTATAGCTTTTAGAACAGCCTTCTATGATTTTAGCCAGTCTAGTCCATGTTACCTCAGAAGGATGCTTCCTAGGTTTTGGAACACTGCTGAGATTTCTTCATTTGGTCCCTGGTGTTTGCGTTTCATCAGTGGCGAGGCCTGTGAGATGAGTGAGTCGGTGCTGTTATTAGTTGAACTCAGAGCTGTTTTTTTCCCACTCTCGCTACTCCCCCAGCACCAGGTCCTAAGAGGCACAGACCATGCTGTCTTTCCTATCCATCTCCATCATCTGTCTGCCCACAATTTTCTCTCTTTCCCCCTATAAAAATCATTTCAACATGTCATCAGAGTATTTTAAACCCACAGTGTTTTAGCTTTTAGAATTGGCCTGACAAGCTGTAGCATCGCTGAAAAAGCTTAAACTTGTGCCCTCGCTTGATTTTCTCTCTCTCTGTTGCTTCTGTTCTCTCTAAAGGCCTGTCCTCAGACAGAATGTTAACCTCGGCTTTGTAAGCCTTGATTAGGGGACAGTAAATCCCCAGTTGTGGGTTTCCTCCAGCATGCTACTAATGACACGGTGTCTACCCTTTATATTGTTGTTAGTGCTTTGAGTAGATTTGTAGCTGCTGCCTGCTGTCCTCCTATTTGGGCTTTATTGTCGAGTAGGAAAAGTTAAAGCAGATGTTATTAGCACTGACCTCGGGAAACAACATGGATTGAATCCTGCAGCTATAGGCTAACCAGACTTTTGCAAGTCTTTAAATAGTACCATCCAAAAGTTTGGGGTCGGTAAGATAAAAAAAAAAAAAAAAAAAAAAAGTTTTGTCTCTTATTCTCACTAAGGCTGCATTTACAGTATTACAGTATTTTGATGTAAAAACAGTTTTAAAATGTGTTGGTTTTTTTTTTTTTACTGTGATGGCAAAGCTGCATTTTCATCAACCATTACTCCAGGCTTTCAGTGTCACATGATCCTTCAGAAATCTAATATAATCTAATAATGTTGATTTGCTGCTCAAGAAACATTTCTCATTACTGTCAATGTTGAAAACAGTTGCTGCTTAACATTTTTGTGGAAACCGGTAGACTTTTTTTCAGGATTCTTTTATGAATAGAAAGTGCAAAAGATCAGCATTTTTTTGAAAATAAATCTTTTATAACATTATGCATGTATTTACTGTCACTTTTGATCAATATAATGCATCCTTTCTGAATAAAAGTATTCATATATTTTAAATAAAAAAAAATATTACTGACCCCAAACTTTTGTAGCACATCAACAGTGTTTGTATCATATATAGTGTATATATTATCTGCATTCCTGCCTCCCTCCCCCACCTTTTTTTTAATTAACCCTGTGCCTAGTAAGTAATCTATATTACCTATATTACCTATATTAGATATCATTTATTAATTCATTGATATATGAGCTGGAGTCTGCACCTTGGTTGCTTACTCATGGCAACCCTATTGAAGAGTGTTTGTCCACTCTAAGACCCATACAAAGCCTCTCATGTCTCTGATGAGTCAGAGCTTTGACCCTCTCAGACAGACCTTCTTGTGCCATGATCATTCGTACCGTGTGTATCAATAAAGCTAAAGCCATACACCAATCACAATACGGCGCCACAACTGCGCCCGCATCCCTACTGATCCCCCTAAGACACTGCTGGCGCTTTGAAGTCCAGACTTGAAAGGACTACAGTGAGTCCAGAGGGAGATGGAGAGCCGTAAACAGTGATTATGTAGAGATTAATGAAGCTGAACCCATGCTGACACCACTCAGCTTCAGGACAGCAGCCGCAGTCAGCTAACTTCAGCATCACTTCAGTACACCTGTCCACCTGAGCACACCTGCAAGATTTACACCACCAACCAGCCAATATACTCCAGTACAGGCTGATAAGAAAAACAAGATAGAAGGCCCATTTGACAAATTAGAATTGGAGAACATATTAGTCAAACCTAAATTGTTTAGTTGTTAGTTAGTTAATTGTGAATCAGCTACTTATTCAAATTCCGAATTGGATGGATCGATCGTGTCACTGAAATGAAAATGCATGGCCATAATGTATGTGCTTTATGAATATTATATTTTATTTTAATGTTTTATACTGATATTATATTAATATATCATTTGATTTAATAGAATATTAGTTCATAGTTCCAAGAGTTTTTTTAATACTTTTAGTTTTGAAATATTGAATACTTATTAGAACTAAACAAACATGAATAATTCCATGTACATACTGCTTTTTCCTCATTGCAAACTTTCTGATGTTATTAGTTGATGGTTTCTGTTTGGCTAACTTGAGATTTTTAGGCCTTTTTTTTCAGCCAATAGCATGACATTTTATTCTCAGTAGCTTTATTTATTTATTTATTTATTCTTCCTTCTTTTTCAATTTAACAAATATATGAGTGCTTTAAATAAGTGATAATTCAAACAAAAGTTGGCTAAATCGCCATTCCTATATGCTCCATGCCTGATTATTTATCAATATTAAATGTTGCATTCTTTGCCTCGAGTAATAATGTCACTGATCAAAGTCTTCAGACCCTTTGGCAGTAGCTTCAGTGCAGTGTTTATTCGACTTTATATACAAAGATATCTGAGGGCTGAATCAGATGCTGGACTTTATATGTTGCTTGTCAAGATGTTGAATTTTAAATAAGAGCACTGGAGTTCATCAAACAGTATGAAGTAGGCAGACAACTACCGCCTACACAGTATAGGAGAAAAATCTGAAACACTTAAAAAATAAATAAAATAACACAATAAAGCCAAACTGTTCACTGTACAGTCCAATTAGGCATACATTCATAGACTTGAGTCATTTGTAAATAAATTAAAAGTAGTTTCTTGTCTTGGATCAAAGTAAAAAAAAAATCTGTGACCACAAACTAAGCATAATACTCATAACCCATTGTTTTTTTGTTTTTGTCCCCCCCCCCCCCCTATCTTCCTTTTGCAGTATCTGCCCAGATCCTGAAAGCCAGCCTGGACACAATGGAGCGGCATATTCAGAGGCTGGAGAACGACATCCAGAACTTCCCCAAGACTGATGACAAGCAGGATAAGTTTGTTGAAAAAATGTCGATATCCTTTGAGTGCATTTACTACTTCTACTGTCTTCCATGATAGAAAGTTTAACATAGACTCATGTGCAGGAATGAGGCTCTGAGGTCCCTTTGCCAATAAGCTATGATCAGTACACTGTTAATTCTTAATCAGTATTTTTGTCTTGTTTTCCCGTTAATACAAAAGTCGGTAAGATTTGTCGATGTTTTTGAAATATTCATATTTTATTATTGAAATATGTATTTTATGCTCACCAAGGCTACATTTATTTGAAGGAGAGAAAAAAAATTAAATAATATTGTCAAATTATTAAAATTATTAGTGTTTCTACACAATTTACTCCTGTGATGATAAAGCTGAATTTTTTCAGCAGCCGTTACTCAAGTCTTCAATGTCACACAATCCTTCAGGAATCATTCTAATACGCTGAATTGCCGCTCAAGAAGCATTTATGATTATCAATGTTGAAAATATTTGATATTTATTTTATTATTAATAATAATAGTATTATTAATAATATTTTCTGAATTATTTGATTAATAGAAAGTTCAAAAGAACAGCATTTATTTTGAAATGGAGAACTTATAACATTATCAATTTAGTATATGATTAATTTCCTCATGTCTTGATTTATTGTTTAAGCATGAATATAACAGGACATAGTGAGAAAAACTAAATATGCAAATAGAATAAAAAAAATGAAATGTATTCCCTGAAAATGTGCTTTTTTAATGCAATTTGGCTTCTCAATTAAATGTATCTTGTTTTTAAAGATGTTTAATGTTTAAGTATGGAAAGCAAGACAAAAATACTGTATATGCTTGGATAGGCTGTCTCAAAGTGAGATGTTTATCCGCATTCTCCTCGTCTCTCAAGCTCTCCAAAGGGAGTTCAGGCTGGGAGCTATTTATACTGCACAACTTCCTCCCCACAGACTCTAATGGAGGGCTTCTTAGCCTTCTATACTTATAGCCCTATGCTGATTTCATCTGCTGACCAGCCACAGGCTCCTTCTCTCTGACTTTCTGAGGGCTATCAGCTCTCAAAGCACCTCTCCCATTTCGATAACAGGAACGCAAGTGCTTACTAGCCTCAAATTGAATTAGATGCCACAACACTTCTCAGACTCTAAGGAGTGAGGAAGTTAGACACTTGTTTGACTTTTCCTTTCTGACATGTGAATGTTTATGCGTGCCAAAAAAGAGCTGACACAAAATCATGCTTTAAATTTGACTTTTTGTGCTCGTTCTGAGCGACTGCTTGACTTTTATTTCCCCACTGCGACTCCTGCCGTTTCTCTGCGGTGTTATTAACTACGAGTAAGGACCATTAATCAATGACTTATCAAGTCTGAGAGTCTTCCCATATGTTTCCCAAGCACAGGAAAGACAGCAGTTAACCTTATTTTAGCTCTTTGTTCACGAGCTCAACGTCGAGATTTATGGGCGACTTACGCTGCACTTTGGGTGGCATAAGAGTAATAGCCCCGGCATGCATTAAAAATTTGCTCCGAGTCGAAGAGGGCTGCTTAGGTTTGTATGATTTAAGAACAATGAGCTTCTTTAGCCTGCAGTGCGGCACAAAAAACAAGCCAGAATACCTCTGTGGCCTTAGCGAAAGCATTGATTAGCAGGACTCGGGGAGGATTGGAACTTGAGTGAGGGAAAATGGAGAGGCGTGGACACACTGCGGCAGCGTCAGGGCCTCGCGGCGTCCCCTGAGGATTGTAAAAGCCAACCGGGCCCCGAGTGCAAACGTAGACGCATGTCGTCCCTGTCTCACCTGATCTGTCATCAGAGCCGGCGCGCAGCCTTGGCTGAATACAGTCACGTCCGTTTGATGGTTCAAGTGTTTTTTTTTAGCAGCAGAGAGAGAAAAATGAGTGAGAAACGGCTGAAAGGGAACGGCTCCACCCTCATTGTGCACCAGTCGCGACTCGTTTTCAGAGGTGTCGGAGCCCGGCTGCAGAGATGCTGACTGACAGCGCGTTCAAACAGCTGCGCCAGCTCTTTTGCGGATGACAGGGCAGACATTGTGACAGAGCTAAAGAAGGCCGAAAGCTGTTTCACTCAGCCATTGTGGACAGCAGGCTAGATGCTATAGAGGTTTAGTGATTGAATTTGAGAACGCTGGAGGTGTGTGTGTGTGTGTGTGTGTGTGTGTGTGCGCTTTCTGCTCGGTGCACTCCGTTTCTCGCCATAGCAACTGGCTTCTTGGCCCCCTCTTTATGAGTTTGACCTCAATGTGACCTTTTGACAAATGACTATGGTGTGGAGATGCTATTTTAGAGTTGCAGCGCAGGAAGTGTTTTTAAAACATTCACTTTTTAGCTTGACGGTTTAGCTTTAGGGCTTGTTTAAACGGTGTGGGAAAAGGAAATTTGTGTGAATAAGGAAAAAGATGTCACCTTGTTAACAGTGTTTTTGTTGCCTGTAGATACTCATCCAAATCACACTACTCCAGGTGGGCACTGTCTGAATCTTCAGATTTCTTCCTTTTTTTCCATGTGATTTAATCTACCCTGAAATCACTATTCTTTTTGTTTTATTCTCTTCTGCTCCAGGGAGACCCAACACAATACGATTGTGGCATTTCATATGCAGAACATTTGTTTTGTTTTTTTAGTTTTCATGGCAGCTCAAACTGCAGGTTTAGAGCCCTTCCAGCGAAGATGAACTAGTATGTACTAAATTTTATGAGATAAAACGGCTTTAACTAGAGAGAGGGTGTGAGGGAGAACAGTAGAGGAATTTTGCCTAGGTAGGAGTGCGCTTTTTCTGAATGCAATAATAGTGATACACATTTCACACCCCTCTGAAACTGTGGAGGTGACATTTCGCAATATTAAAAAATCTCACCAAATATGGGAATATCATATTAAATTCACATTAAGGTGCTTAAGACTCTGGAACAAATATGCATTTATTAGCTTACATGGCGATGCACTGTTGATATATTGATCCATTAAATAGAAATGATTGTGGCAGCAAATCACGGCCGGTTTGAAAATGCACTGAGCGTGCTGTTGCAAGAGAGAAATAAACTCTTGATATGCATAAGCGTTAGTTTTTAGAGTCAAATAAAGGAATTTTCTTTTATTACTGACTGCTCAATATTCCCTCTTGCAATATGAACATGTATATGCGAGAGTATGTTTGTCTAAAGTATTAGGTCAGCTATGGTAGACTAGTTGCAGATGCATTGTGGGTATTTGGACAAATGAAATAGACTCCCACTGACTCATATACATTATTTAAACCGTCATTAGTACTAAAGATCTCCGTGCATCATAATTCACATATTAATGTTTTTTTTTTTCTTCATCTTCTTTTTTGTTTTCAATTTAATGCATTTCCACATGCTTTGGAGGATATTATGTGTTCTTTGTATTCCTGGAATATCCAGTTTTTCATTACATAAATGCATTTCATATACCAGATACAGCAGCATACATTAAAACCGTATAGTTATACAGTCCACTGCTTTAAACTGATCTCAATAACTGGAAAAATGCTCGCAGTGTAGCTCAGACACACAACACTTATTGGTTGGAATACTTTATTTTTTCCACCATTATTGTAATGTATGCAAATGACTGAGTAGGATGTTTGTTCAGCAGTTTAGTGATATCTATCTATCAGAATTAATGGCACCCCACAAAGGCTTTCAAATGAACTAGCGGCCCCATGAGAGCTGTAAATCAGAGGAGGGACCGTGTTAGCGGTGGCCTGCCTGGGGACCGGGAGTACTGGGAACTTCTGCTTGCAGCAGAATTCGGCATCCATACTGAGTATTGACGGATGTGGGGGCCTGTCTAATAGATCTCGCTTTTCTATAATTCGGTATGCTAGTATTTAACTTAACCTTTGTTCTCTCTCTAGGGACAGAAAAACGCCAATCAGCTGGCCAATTTCTCCCTGTAATGACACAGTACATGCAGGATCAGAAAAGTTAATACAGTGACTTGTGAAGGGTACTTTTTAAAATGGATAGCTTCGACTCTAAATTCTGATTAGATGAGCTGTGAGCAGCCGTTAAATCCTGATAAATGCACACCTGTGACCACATATTCTTTTAGCCTTCAGTTAGGATAATGGCTGGTTATATATAAAGCTGGTTGTTTCATATTAACCAAATGAATATGTGTATAATATCCATGGCTTTCCTTTTCACCTGCCAAGCCATAAACATACCATTCATATGAGAGGGCGCAGTTTCTTTAAAGACTCCCTGAAGCTTTGCAATTTATTGTGGCTCTTTTTAAAATGTCTATAAACAAATCATCTCTCGTAGCTGCAGAATACAATGCCTCGTTAGACAAAGGAAATCCCCCAGTGAGGGAAGTGCTAGAGCAGTCATGCTGGTCATTCTATAGGAAATGTGAGATTTACTTGTTTTCTTAACCTTTTCTTTCACTGGAACATGCATTCGGCTGACCTGAACTCAGCAGAATAAACAAACATTCCTCAAGAGAGAGAAATATTGGGGGCAATTGTTCTATTGTGCACTGTGTATTTCTTGTTGAAAGGCTGTGGTTTCCATCCTGGTTTTAGAGTGTTGGCCAGTGCTCAGCAGGGCAGCATAACACTTGATTTCCAGCATAGTACCTTTTATGCGTTGTATTATGGCACACATTCTCGCTGTGTGTTTTAATACCTGCTATGGAAATGCAGTAGCTTTGGGCGCCGATGTTTGATGGGTTGAGAGGAGCAGAAATACACTATGCTGCAGGAGAATATTTCATCTGACTGATGTAAATCACAAGTCAGATAGGGTTTCTTAGAAAGCTTGGCTTGTGCGACTTTCTGCACATCTGAGCATTACAGATTGCTCCCGAAGATCATGCAAATCGAGGTGAGGGATGATCAACGGTGATCATTATTTTACCTTTGGGTACAAAGTCTCTAATGAATTGATGAAGATGTGTTTGCAGCAGTCTGCACAGTGTTTCCAGCTCCTCTCTGTGTATATGCCTCTGCTTAGTCTCAAACCTCTGTTAATTATGGAATTAGGTCACA